TGCTGCTTGGCCTGCTGTGTTCATCCAGCCCTGCACCTTGTTGTCTCGGATTCTCCAGCATCTGCAGTTCCTACTATCTCTGCACAGAAGATGATGTTTGTTGTGGCAGGATTGTTCCCAGTTTGTGTGTTTCCCTCTTGTGGAATGAGCTCTGTTCTTGGTAACTAGGGTGACGTATTGTTAAAAGTCTTTTCTTCCTGACTCTGTGACAATTATTCCCCCAGTGGTGGGCATGTGTGCGGGAGGTAATGAGCCTTAAAGAAACACCGCCTCTTGTTATTACAGTATGCAGCGACGCTACAATTTTGTTTTCAGTTGCATCAAACCGGTATCACTGACAAACTCTCCGATAAAACACCAGTTATAGCTCAGTTAGTGACACTCTTGCCACTTCTGATCTGGGCCTTTGTGGGGTTCAGCTACCACCCGCTTTAAGCTCACATTCAGTGCAAAACTGACAAGAGTGCCGGAGGTTCTGTTTTCAAATGCAGTTGGCTCTGTGCACAAATTGACTGATTGGGACAGAGATGAGCGTGAGAGAAAGAAAAATAAATTAAATCTGTAGTTTCTAACATTGCAGAGACAGTGGTAGTTTGAGGGAAGATTTGATTGGGATGTGTAACGTTGCAAGGAGCCCGGGAACTGCAGGCCCATTTCTGTTATTCAATAAGCAGGACTCACAGATGAAGATTAATTGGTAGGTAATTGGAAAGATTTGAAGAGAAGGATTTTCACATCGGTGATTTGGAATGCACTGCCTGAAAGATGGGAGGGGAGTAGGGGAAGAGGAAGAGGCCCTTATCACATAGAAACTAAAACATGGCAGTGTATTTGCAATTACAGAGTCCACAAGAACTAAGAGCTGGAAAGTGTGGTTAGGCTGGATAGCTTCCATAAACTGGGAGAATGACTCAAAACATCCCCTGATTTCTTTCTTCCATGAATGGTGAATACCTTTCTATCTAACATGTTTCAAACGAAACTAGTTTAACGACCGGAGAAAACAATTGTGAACCATCCTTTGTGCCATTGTAAGCAAATAAAATGATTATATTTGCCAAGTGCTCCTCTTTTAAGTTGCAGAGTTTTGTTGTCTCATGCTGTGATGTACATTGTCGGAGGTAATTTGAACAGAGTATCAGTTATCTTTATTTGGCTGCTTGTCTCTACAGCATTTGAATTGATTTCTA